AGGTGAGTCACCCTTTACATAGACGAGGACGCATCGTACACCCCGTCGTGGATTTCACGTAATTTTGGGTTTCACCGGTAAATGGTATCGCGTTTCTTGGGACGCACCGTCGGATTGGCGCATTGTCAACCGACAGGGGCCACCTAAGGCCCCCGAGTGGTTTGGTAGTAGTCTAGGATCCCTTTCAACCTTCCTTCTCCGTGGTAGCGTAGCACGCGCGCTTTGCCTCCATAAAGGAGCTTTTTTTTTACTAGAAAGACAAAAAACAAGGAACGCTGAGGCAAAAGCGGAAAAGGGGGAGCGTGCTAACCCTCTTCTCTCTCTCTCTTTTCCTTCCCGCCTGCATCCTTTTTACTTTTCAGAAACGCGTGGCGTGGCACACGCCATTATTCTCCCGTTTCGTCTTCCTTCGAGGCGACGAGAAAAATTTATGATGCGCTCGTTGTGTTGCTTTTCGGAAGAACTCATCATCATATGCGGTTATCTTATATATTGGCACTCCAAGACAAGGTTTCTAAACTCGTCGATTTATAAACTCCGGTATATAACGCGATGTTTTTATAACGCAATAAAAACTCGACAAAAAAACGTATTTTCAGACGTATTTCCTTAGATGGTAGTTTGAGTATATAAAAATCAAAACAAAATTTTGAAATAATGATACAGAATGATATCAACAAAATGCGTCGAATCTTTGAACGCCGTTGTTGTTTATCTTGTAACTTTCGCGAGATATAAATCTTGCGTCGCGGAATTAAACGCGCCATTACACGCGAGGATGATCACAATCGAATTTGTGTATGTTTACCTATTTGTAGCGGTACTTCAGGTAGCGATGTATAGATCCCGGGGACCCCGCGCGTTTTCCCGGATTCTGACCCCAAAACAGCTCAACGGCACTCAATGCCACGAAAGAAACGCAGGCCGCTCGTCCGTCCGCTTTGTCGCGTGCTGCCAGACTTTCTTAACGTGTTGGCATAGTTTTTGACAATAGGGCCAATGCTGCGGGAGTAAACTCATACGCCAGCACTGTTGTGCAACGAGTATAGCGACGATTCCCCTTGATTCCTCGCTTTGAATTTAGTATCTTACTTTCAACTTTCCTTCGCTTCTCTTACAAGAACTAAGAAGCAGTAGTTCTGATAATAGCGTTAATCGGCAAAATTAAAAATTGATATTATGTTGTGTGAATTGCGAATATTTCACATTTTGAAATATTATAAGCGGCAAATAATAAAATAAAAAAGAATGATACTCATTAGAAATAAATTTTACAATAATATAAAACCTATATAACTTATATAATATAAGAAAAAAAAATTAGACATATATGAGCAGAAAAATTCTGTATAAATATCCATATTGGTCTAAAAATAATTAATATTGATATTTGCATCGACATTTATAAATTCAATATATATATATATATATTGAATCAAAAAATGTCGAATTTATTAAAATTATTCTGCGAATGTTTGCCAAATATCAAATAAATGTTCCTAATTGGAAATAAATTTTACAATCTACGAAAAAAAATAGTAGGACATATATACGTTTAACGTAGAAAATATCTAAGATATAAGAATCTATGCAATATTAAAAATAATAAATATCGATATAGATTATCTAAATCTAACAAATAAAAAAGTTAAAGAAAAAAAATGAATATAAAATTAAACTACACGTGCGGGACTTTCAAGAGACTCCTGCCGATCTATGAATTTGGACGATTCAGTCCGACTCGATCCGCTGCATCTGCCACGTGCCCCCATATTACGGCATAATGTGTCACTGTGCCACGGTCGCGCCACCCCTCTCTTCAGCCCTTCGGCGACGCCTGCAGCTTCACCCGTCGCTCGATCGCGCGTGTATGGAATCCTAGATTTTGGAAACTCGGTGGCCCCGAATGGCACAGCTGAATGCAGGTCGCGCTGGTCCTCCTAAATCGGGGAGGAAACGCGCCGGGGAGGATGGAGGGAAACGGTTTTTTCAGCATGCATGCCCCTCCAGCCATCCCCCTTCGGCCGCTTTCGTTACCCCGCGATGTCTCTTCTCTTCGTTTTCTGAATCAACGAGCGAATCCATGATGCAACCTCGGATGAGTCGTGAAAATATTGTTGCTTTTGTCCGCGACATTTTATTCCAATCTGATGGTCCATCGGGAAATATAACAATCCCCCTAGTGATAATGTTTTATCCATGACTTCGAGAAATCCGCAAAATTTTGAAATATGAAGAAATCCTTGCGAATGAAGTATTTCTCTTCTTGATATTTGTGTTGATAATCATATTGAATAATCTAAAATTAAATAATAAAATTAGAATAAGTTTGTGGTAAAATATGATTTTGAATTATAAATTTCATTAAATTTAACCTTGCGACGTTAAAATCATTTCTAAACTATTTGTGAGAAATTGTGACAGTTGCTATAAATTAAGTAACTTTTTCTTCCGAATTTCTCTTCCGAATTAATATAGTTCGTCGAATTATATGTGCTAGAATACGATATAATAAAATCGAAACTTATCGTGTGCAGGGCAGGTGCCGAATAACGAGACTCGAGAACGATTAAACAGTGAGATTTAATAATAAAAATAGTCTGACAGAGCAGTCAATTCATGGAACATTCGATAATCGTTTATTAATGCGTGATTGCAAAGATCGGGGCATGAAATTACGAGTAAACACTTACAATACAAAGAATTCTTCTCTCTCGTCGATTCTTTCTCTTATTCACAATAGGAATTCAAAGTTGGCAGCAATGCAGTAATAATGATAATATTACAATTAGTATTTTACTCCCTAGACGCGCGAATTACTTACAAAACGATTTATATCATATTTGTACGAATGATATACTTCTCTCTATAATATTCGCATATCGTCACTCTTTTTTATTTCTTCTTGCCCATTATCTCTCTTTTTATCTTATTTATAGGAATATTATTTAAAATCAGTCTTGTGGTTGAGATATATTAGGTGTCTGGTGAGGTAGTGTCAGTTTCATAGTATACGTTCAGTGCCACTTGATCTGTTATTCGCGCCCTATGTTGCGTAACAAGCGTTAAACGACATTGTACGCGACATTAATATTCGTATACGGAATCGTTGTCGATGATCCACGATTTCCAATTCATGAGAATCGTCAATAACGATTACCGATAATTCGCGACGAGCAAACGTCGAAGTGTTATTCGCGATAAACAATCAAGTGCGCCAAGTGGTTGATACACTTCGCTAAATAATATACCGACATTATTATCTATTACTTCGTGAGACCGTGTTTACTCATTTATAATCGTAGGCGTAAGGTCTTGTATTTTTGTACCGTGTCTCGTTCTCTCGTGCGCGAGAACTCGAGCGGACGCGACATGGTTGCATTTTTTTTTTTTTTTTGCGCGCATTCTTGTCGCCGCGGAAAATTGGCACTGTCAATTGGCGAATTCGCTCGAATTCCCGCGCACCGCGCGATTGGCTGTACAAAATTATATATAGATATCAACTTAATTACATGTAAATATACGAACAAGTATACGTAATTATAGGTACATTTCGTCGAGTACTCGAATGATTGGGATACGGAGTACGGCCGATGATCGACATTGTATTTTAGTAGAAATTCTAAAACTGCTTGATAATATAAAATGTATCTCTTTTAATAGAATTCGATTGATTAGTCATGCGCATATTATCTTCCCAACGAAAAGATCGAGACATGAAACGTGAGAACAGGATATAAGAGACAAAAATAAATATCAGAGTTTAAATTGTAATCAGTATAACGTATGGCAGTATATTATATGGCAATGACTAAAGTAATGAAAAAAAAAAAATAAAACAAAGCTTCCTCTATGAGGAAGCAAAAAAAAAAAAAAATGGAGATCCGTATCTTGAAAGTGATTAATTGGTGTTTTTATAAAAGCACTGGTAATTCTCTGTAGAATCATTGATTATGTTCGTGCGTGTAATAGAAATTTTTAATCAAATATATTCACTGGTGGTTTCTTATATTATAAAATCACATTATTTTTATTAATTTTATTAATAATAAAATATTAAACAATTGATATTATAATATCGCCAGAGAACATTTATAAAATCCTACCTAATTGAAAGAATCTTTTTATTTTTTTCGTTCACACCAAGATAGTCACTGATTCTACAAAGTCGTCAGAGATTTTATAGAATCACCAAAATCAAGTTACAGTTTCATCATAACATATTGATACGTGATGAAAAATTCACGTATAAAAAATGATAAATCTCCTTTATATTTCATATACTTTTTTATATCTCTCTGAATAATCCATACGTGCAAATATTTTCGAATGCTGCAATCTGTCTTTTTTTTTTTTAAATCAAATTTAATGTTCTATTCTACAGTCAGATTGTTCAAGTTATATTCCTTTGTCGATAATAATATATATATATTTGCATTCTTATTTCTTATTTTACTTTAATTTTATATTTCGTCGTACGTCGATCCTCATCCGTATAACGCAATCTCAATTCAAACATCATATTATTGTAGTACGTTACAACTATTCGACACAAAGATATAATATATGTATGTATACATAGTTTTTGCACGTTAAGAATAAGAGGACAACAACGATAATAATTACGATGGGACAAGCGATAACTCTATATTAATATAAGTATAACGACACGTGTGGTTCTTTGCCTCGTCAATATATATCCCAATTTTCATTATTGTATAACTACCGTTTATAGAAACAAAAAAAAAACAACAGACTTGCATAAGCAGGACTGGAAAGGAACATAAGTTACAAACAGCATTAGGAACTAACAATCTTTAATTGTAGGAACCTTCAGAAATCGATATATCTCAAGGTACTCTTGTATTCGATATCGCGCAAGTATATATTTGTTTAGAAATTGGATAATGTATGGCTTCAATTGTCATCAAATTCCTTCAACTCGGTGATACACGCGATCGACGTCGAATAAAAACTAAAACGTCCATTATTCGGTTTTACCTCTTGATTGATAATTATATCTGAGCGAACCGACTTAATCATGTTAGACTCCTAGTTAGATTCCAGAGTCTAGAATATATGAGATATCCGACATCTGTCTAAGCACTAAAGTACACAAAACGTACTGTACGTATGCTATGATAGCAAAAATAACGATGAATTACCAAGCAAATAATAACGCAAAGAAAAATCAAAGACTCTTAATATCTTGAAATATATCAGGTGCCATAATGTTATCAAAAGATAGAATTATGTTCTTGTGATAACTATATATCTCTTTATATTCCGTATTCTAATCGCTCAAATACTCTATAAAATATAATTACGATTACATACATTTGTTCATATGTCGTTTGTTACATGTACTGTAATTAAATTGATATTTGTATATAATTTCATATAGCCAACTTTTTGACTCACGAGTTATAATTATCAATCAAGAGGTAAAACCGGAAATAACGCATTATTCTAATTTTGTTCGACGTTGTTCGCGTCCCATGTTATCGAATTGAAGGAATTATATGACAATTCCAGAATATGCAGAGGAAACCTGAAAGTAAAACCAGAGAGGAAAGCTTTCGCAAAATATATCATTATCTCAGTATAATTTTGGGATATGAATTCAACACTTTACGTGTACATATATATATTTTATATGTCGAATGCAAGAATACCTTGGGATATATAAATTTATAAAAATTCTTAAAACTAAAGATTGCTAATTCCAAATATTTGTAACTTACATTTCTGTCGGATCTGCTTACGCAGGTTCACTTTTAACTTTTTTTTTTTTTTTCATTTTTTGTGTAGTTTAAAATTTTATCAAAACGATATTATATTCAATCTTTATAACAATTACTAATCGTATTCTCTGATTTCGCGAATGCAACTCGAATGCTAGTAATTAATAATTTAATTGTTATCTCTGCATCTGTCGTGCGATGATACCGTCGAAATATTTTCACCGCCAAAAGGCTTAAAAATTCAAGAAGCTAGCAGGCTTTGAAAGAAAAGTAGATCTTACATCAAATTCCCTATAGTTTATTGTCATAAGGAGAATTATTCTCTCCTTTCTTCTGAATAGAGGATCAGACTGAATTCACAAATGTAAGAGTCTCGCGCGCGCCTTTATCTTTTTTTTCTTCTTTCGGTGGGTGACAGATGAACGAATGTACGGTTAAGTGTCGTGACTGAGAACGCTTAACGATTTTACTTGTGGCTAGTTTGCAACAATCGCGAGGCGAAAACCGGTCTCACCCTCGATAGCTAGCGACGGAACGAAGAGACGACTTACCGGCGTTAAACGCGCGTAAGAGAGTCGCGATTAATCGAAAAGCGTCATGGAAATGTTCTCTTTGTGAAGAACGAGATTCTGTTCCGAAATTTTATTTTGTTGCAGTCTAATCGCGAGGAACAATTATTCATTTTTTGTAATGCAAAAAATTTCGGATGTTTTTTTATCACAATATTTAAACGTACATTATGTTATTTGCCAAAAGAAGAAAATGAAAAGACAAAGACGCGTAAAGTATTTGTAAATCGAGTGTTTATATGATCTTTCATTTAGGAAGAATTGGAAGATGTTTCTATATACAATAAACTCGAGAACTTGAAAATATCCCGACGGTATTATTGCCCGCATTCAGCAGAGGTTAAAATTAGATTATTTGTTTGTAGTATTCAAACTACATTCGCGAAATCTGAGAGTATCTATCAGTGAGATTCGATGGTTAATTTTCGTGAAGCCGTATATAACACCATTTCAATAAAGTTCCAAACTATTCATGTCCCAAAATTATACTGAGATAATGAATATATTTTGTAGAAAGTTTCCGCGTTTCTGGATCAGATATACTTAGCCATTTTATCAAGATTTCTCTTTATGAAACAAGGAAATAAAGTAATCAGACTTAATCATTCTTTTTGTCTTTTTGAATATTATTATATATTATAAATTTTATGTACCATGCAATAAATTTTTTTGCTCTCTTCTATGCATAAATCGAAAATTTCGTCTATCTTATCATCAAAAGTCTGCAGTTTTTCGTTTTTGTATCTCGTATTTCTCTGATTGTGTTAGTTTTAGAGAAAGATAACATTTCATGGATTCACTCACAAATGTGTTTTGTAAGTTTTATAAAGACAACATAAAAAGAAGTGCCATAAAAAGATTTAAAAAAACGTGTGCATAGAAGAGCGAAACAAGAATAAGAGCAGGATATAAAAATGACTCTTGAATGGTCCCACATAAACGACTAATAAATATCATTGTAGAGGTCAATGACATTTTTAAGTATGTGAGGAAAGTGTAACAGATGGTATGAGAAACTAAAAAAAAATCCATAGCATGGTATTTGCCACAAATTTTATAACGCGTAAAGAACGTTTAAAAAAACGAATATAATAATTGTTTTGGATTCAATTACTTCCTTAATGTTTCGAAAAAGGGATCTCGATAAAATGACTTAAGCCTTAATTAAGCACGCGCACATCAAAAAGACAAAGATTAGAAATATAAGAACTATAAAAATTAAAAATATAAGAAAAAAATAAGAAATAACTCGAATTAAACTAGTTTCTATTTTATATATCGCGCGATTTTAAACTATCTTTTTTGCTGCATAAACTGCTAAATAAACTGCATAAATATATAAAAGTGAAAATTTTTTAAACCAGCGAAAATACGAGACAATGCAAGAAGACGCAATAGTTGAGCTATATACCTGCGCTTGTCGTTCTTTCTTTATAAAACGGTCAAAAGATAAACGAGGGTAATTTAGCCTACCCGGTATTCCGAGCGATATTCATGCAACATGTAGACGTCGTGTTTTCCTTTCTTCTCCTTTTTCTCCCATTTCATCCAGCGGGGCGCAAAGACATAGTGAAGTTTATAACTCGAGATGTTCGTGCTTTCTCGCCGCATCGAAGAAAAACTAAACGGGAATTGGGAAATGGGAGTGTAGGAGTCTTGTTCCAGAAATGCGTAACAGATTCGACAGAAGTGTCTAGGTGGCCTCGAGTCGGCGGTCAGAATAGAAAATCTGCATACTACGGCGCGGACATAAATCACGAGCATTGAATAGCGGCAAAAGATCTCGAGGAGATGCGGCGCGTATCTGCCTCGAGGAAAAGAGACCGGTGACCGGCTGTAAAATTTTTCGGCACGACCCAATGTATCTCATCGCGCGAAAAACTGGTTCGCGCGAAAGACGCGCACCGGCCGAGAGGAGGCCAACTAGCATAAAAAACTAGGACTCTTTGAAAAGGATTGTTTAACGGAGCCGGCTGTGCGCGTCCGAAGGATAGCAGGCGGAAATCGGAGAAGCAGATCTCGATTATGCGAGTCTTATTCTCTGCGATCAAGACGAAATTGTGGGAAGTAACGGAGGTGGAGATCGGTTTGAATTTTAAATCGACTCGGACACTGGACATGATCAAGATTTTCTAGTTTGCTTGACATAATAGGGATACCGTTCCTCAAAGAAGTTAATATCCGTAGACCTTCGTTTATCTTTTAACTGTGCCGACTATTTTATAAGAAAAGAAAGACAAGCGCAGGTATAGTTCGACTATTACGTATCCTTGCAGTGTTTCGCGCATTTTCGTTGGTTTTTAAAGATTTTCATCTTTATATATTTATGCGATTTATGTAGCAATCGCAAAAAGAATTGTTTAAAATCGCGCGAATAAATTTATTATATATCTAGTTCAGCAAAATGGAGAATCGTGATCATCATCCAAATTTATTTAAAATTCAACGATACAATAAGAGGTAGATACGGAAAAGCGATTACGGGATACTTTTTTCTATCGCTGAAACTCCACTAGATATCTGAAACTCCACCTGATCGGCGTTAGGGGTTGCTTCTTGGTTGTCGCGATGACGGTTGTCGCGATGACGGTTGTCGTTTTGTCGTGGCGCGAGTATGTCTTAGGAACAGGCTGGCCTCGTACTTTTCGTCCTCTTGTTCAGGACTGCTATCTTTGCTGAGGCTACGGCTCAACGACGAATCGTTGCTGCTGTTGGAGTAGTGTCTGCGTGACCTGGACATGGATAGATCCTCGGGCTCGGTTTGCTCGGGTAGAACGATCGACGGTCCGGGAGGTTGAGCGTTCGACGGCCCGGGTAGATTAAGGATCTGCGCAGCGATGTCGACTATTGGGCTGGGTAATGCACGACGAGTCGGCTTTCTAAGAATTTCCTGGGCGGCGTGCGACATATTCTCCGCTTCCTCCTGCTCCTCGCCGTCGATATCGATATCGTCGTTCTCCGGTTCGGTTTCAAATTCTTGCGCTTCGTCGCCGCCGTTACTGTCGCCGTTGCATCTATGCTGATGCAGATGATGTCGCCTTCTGAATCGTCCATGGCAAGTTTCGCATTCGTACGGTTTCTCACCATTATGTACCATTACATGAGCCTTCAGCTGATTCGAATCGCTGAAACGATTATTGCAATGCCTGCAAAGGTACGGACGCTCGCCTGTGTGTACCCGCACGTGACGACGGAGATTCGCGACCTGGACAAATCGCCGCTGGCAAAATTTGCAGCAGTAAGGTTTCTCGCCTGTATGAAGTCGCATGTGTGTTTTCAAATGATGGTCCCTTGTAAATCTGCAAAATTCAAAGACTTAAATCATCGATCGAATTTACGATTTTATTCTAAAGAGAGATTGTATGTAACGTGAAACATTTTTTTCTTCTCTCAAATTAATTTTCATTTACAATAATATTTCTTCTCAAAAAATTGTTTTCTCTCCATATCACAATTAAGAAAAGCAAGATCTATGATTAATCACGAGAAACTCACCTTTTATGGCATACCGGACACTGGAAAGGCTTCTCGCCAGTGTGCGTGCGTTCGTGATTCTGCAGCACATGTTTATAACCGAAACCTCTCTTGCACACATTGCAAATAAAATTTTGCTTCTTATTCTTTTTCTCTACTGTCTCAGGACTGATGGTTGGAGATCCTGTCTCCGAATTAACAGTCGGAGTTGGAGATGGTTCGATGTTGAGCTCGGCTACACCTTGCAACGTGCTTTGCTGGTCAACGATCGGTTCTGTGCTCAACGGTTGATTCTGGGTCGATTTTCTCTTTCTTCTGCCACCTTTTTTGCTGCCCGGCACATTGTTGTTGTTGTTATTATTATTATGATTATTATCGTCGTCGTCGCCGTTGATGCTGCCGCTGGCGGCGGTAATGCTGAGGCGCTGCGACGTGGAATTGCTGGAAGTGCTGAGAGTCGGCGATACTATGGGCGATATATGAACGGAGGAGGGCGGCGGGGATCCGGCCGACTGTTGTCTTCGCCAATTTGGCGAGTCCACGAAGAGATTCTGATTGAAGAACGACGAAGCCGCGGCTAAGCTGTGCAACGGAGGAAGTCCTGCCTTTATCAGCGCTTGAGTGGTGAGAAAGTCCTGGTTCAGTACCGATAATCTTGCCACCGATCTTGATATCGGTTCCGGATATAGCGACACATTATTGTTAAACGGTTGCTGCTCGGCGTCCTGCATCATGCTCAGATGCTGATTGATCAGGAATCCTGAACTCGATAAAAAAAAAAAAAAATTATTTAAACAGCGTTACTCGATGAAGTGTCGCGCTTAATATTTAATGCATTTGACATTTAATTACAATAGAAACGATATACATTATCCGTGTATCTCATGAATTGCAATATCAACGCGATATAATTTGACGTATCGATGTTATTGCGCTTAATATTTAATGCATTTGTGACATTTAATTACAATAGAAACGAGATACATTATCCGTGTATCTCATGAATTGCAATATCAACGCGATATAATTTGACGTATCGATGTTATTTCTTGGTGCATTATTATAGTTAGAATATTTTGACGAAATTTGCGGCTTTCGAAATTGGAAAATTAATTGTATGACCTATGAATCGAAACATCTTCCTCCTTGCGCTTTCTCTCCCTATTAGCCTCCCGCGCGCGCTCCTTCTTTTATTTCCTTTACTCTCTCCCTCTGTTTCTCTCTTCCCTACCACTTCTGACATGCCCTCCCACACATGTCGCTCGCACGTGAGGTTACTGGATCCTCCTCCATTCACTCACACTCTCGTACACGAGAGTTCATTCATAAGACTCTCACTATCCACGTACGCGTGTACCGCCTCTTCGACTTCGAGCCGATGACTTTATCAGCAAACATTCACTTTATCGAAATGATGCATTCCAATTGATAAAGATGTTAGTCATTAGTATTATGATACTCTTTTGATTTTTAACAGATATCTAATATCTGACGGATAATACAGACGATTAAAGAGAAAGGGAGAAAGTTGATAAATTAAAATCTATTGTGTGTCTGTATATATATCGTATATAAATATATCGAAATTTATATAAACTAACAGATAAAAAAGATATATTCCACGAAATAATTGAACATATATGTCAGTTTATGATCGTGCGGACACTAAGCACTGTCATATTGAAGTATAACTTGCTGTGAATCTTTTTATAAAAATTGCGTACGCAATCCAACCGTAATTTTTAAAGATTATTGGAATGCGTATGAGAATATCATGTGAGATCACTTTTAGCTAATATTTAAGAATTCAATATTGCAATATTTTTTAAAATGTAATATCTAAAGATATTTAATGATTGAATAGGTGATTGAAAAACACTTTGATAAGCGTTCGATAAACTATTAAAGTAAAATATTCAGAAAACATAAAGGTATTCTTAACGAGGTCGATTTGAGCAACGATTTGAAGAAACGATAACCGAAAAATTCTATACTCGATCGCCGTCGGCTAATTAATGGACTATTTAGAGAGTCAGCGTCGTTCAATCAATAAAGATGCGTACGATGTCTCCTTCTTCTTATGTGTGCTCCTCTTTTTTCTCTACCCCAAATTTCTCTTAACGGCAACCAAGATCCTTACAGCCTACGAGAGCCGTTTCTTGGCAACGCGACGAGAAGAGTACCGCCCCCGCTCGCATCTACCCCTAATTGGTCGCAACCCTTGTAGTTCTACCCCGAGTCTTTTCTCTCTTGGAAACTTTATTAGAAATTAGATCGTTGTAAATTAATGTATATCTTTGTGTTCTATTATCCGACTTTACTTTAAACTGACTTAAAGTAATCTGTAGACACATTGTATGGGAAAAAGAACTGAATAAATAAAATAATTATGGACAATAGAATAAGTACAAAATAATAAATAAACTATAAAATATTATATAAACTATTATATAATTATATATAGCTAAACTATTTATGCGTTTATATATCTTTATAGTTAAAAATATAAATTTTTCCACCAGTGTTACAGTTAGAAATATAAACTTTTTAAACCATTTTAACAATCCTTTTTTATGGGGCTAGTATTAAAGCTATAACCAGTAGTCGAAAAGAAAAGCCTTGAACGCTTCGAATAACTATTTTTTTTAAACTCACAATACTTTATTGCAAACGGTAATTTTATTGGGGTCTTGGTGTTTTTTTTTTTTTCAAACTCATAAGTTACAAGTATCTTCCCTACTTAAACCGTGACATTTAGAGAGTCATTGGAAGCCTTTCGATTTATATAACTTTCCACTGAAACTGTGGAGAGAGATGTCGTAAAAGCATTGTAACATACCTTACAAGTTCGTAAGTACTAATATAATGGTCGTAAATATTAATGTAATGTCTAGAATCCGTTCGTCAAGGACATCTTGAAGTGTGATATAATCAATCGAAAAGGTCGCTTGTGGTTTGATAAGTCATTAAAAGCGTGCCGAGCATTCCGATCGCGAAATCATAGCAAGCTTTATTTCCTTAGAAATAAACTTACTTAACGTTTTTCGTCAAGCGATTTTGCTAGTCTCTCCGTGGCTTATCGATGTTTACAATGTGTCACAACGTACGTGCGTCGTGTCGGCGCTTTTAGATTCTGGCGACGCGCCAGAAGTCGCGCGCTCGGCTCTCAACAAACTATGAAATTGCTCCCTTCCCTCGCCTTATATTTTTTTTTTCTCTCTCTCTATCTCTATGCATGTTAAAGCATAAATATATCATCTACATTTTCGCATTTATTAGAAGCCGATATTCGTAAGATTACTGGATAAGAGTAAAAATGAAAAAAAGGAACACAATTCTCGAGGTGACAGAATTCTGATATCTACGACGGATATTTTTCATTGAATTTTATCAGAGATAATTTTCAAAATGATAAACATAAATAGATTTAGAACTTGTGGAAGCAAAACAAAATGTTAATGATTAAGCGCATAGAAGGACCAGCGTGGAAAAAATAGTAGAAGAGAGGAAAATAAATATTGACGCTCTCAAAAAAAAAAAAAAAAAAAAAAAACCACCGCGATTCGAAAAAACATTCTTCGTTTTTATTAACACGTTAATCTTGTTGGCACTTGAGGGAATTTAATATCGATTCTTTCATAAGCCACGAATATTCCTGTGAGTATTTCAGAAAGTATTGTTATTTTATATATAAGCATTACGTTAAATACACGATAAATATAACATTAAAATGTTAAATACGGGAAACAAGAACACGCAATATTGAGAACACGGTTAATGTATCTTCGAAACTAAGGATACGGGTTTTACGGACCCGATCCTCTTCGTCGTTTGTATCATTAATGAAAGTAGTATATCGTTAATAAAAATACCTGCGTAAATTTGTGTCCCTTGAAAATAGGACAATGCCATGCTACAATCCATGCGACGAGCTTTCTTCACTTTGACACTCCATCCACTCTTGCCGAGCACAATATGATCACTTGCGACGACGAGATACGGAGAAGAAAGCGCAAAATATTACGCGACGCGATGAATGGAGCGATTAAAATAAATTCGATAACAATTGTTATGCTCAATTATTTTCTCGTTTTTCCTCTTCTGGAAAAGACGGATACTTTTTTTATAATCTACACGGTAAACTTACTCCGGCGAATGGAAACATCCAATGTACGATAAGGCCGACAACGGCCGATACCACCGCGAAAATATCCCGTAAATATGTCTATATTCAATCACTATCTACTAGCGTATAAACAAGCGGAGACGTGCTCCGATCACAAGATTGACCGACAATGTCGGTCGACGATGTCTACTCTGGGCTGACCTAACCCAACACTAAGTGACAACCGACGTGCGGCTCAGTAGTATAGTCAAATATTCCCCCACCCTTGCACGCCCCGGTCAACCCCACTACTCTCTCTTTCTCTTCCCCCACCAAGTATCGTGGTGCGCTACCCTCTCGAATCGCAACCCCGGATGCGCGAGTCGCCGAAACGTTCTTCGCTGGGGCGCGGGTTAGCGTGCGTACAGAAGATGGAGTACAGAAGGGAAAGCAAGAAAGGGAAAAACAGGCGGGGAAGAGAAGGAGGGTGGGACAAGAAAAGGATGACAGTGGACAGCCGGACGAGAGAGAGAGAGAGAAAAGAAAAGCGCACTAGAGGGTGAAAGAGATGTTATTGCGTAGAAAGAGCAAGCGCGCGAGAAAACGTAGAAGGGGAGATTTAAGAGAGACGCAGAGTGAACCTGTGACCATGATCTTTAAGGATAGGGGTTGGTGCGTGCGGGGAGCGCACTTCTTCCTCGAAGACAGAAAGAGAGGGATAGAGATAAGGGAGGAGGCAAGGGACGAACAATTGCTGAGACTCGGGTAAGAGAAAATGAGAGAGAGGGAAGAGAAGGGGGAGGAACAGGGAGAAAGGAGATATATGCAAAGAGGGTAGAAAAAAAAATTAGCAACGTGTTTCGTAAAATTCAAAAATAAACGGTCAATTGCACGTTTTTCTTAACACTGCGAGAAAGAATGGAAAATGGAAATTAGTTAGATTTTCTACATTTATGATTATCCTTCATTAACGATATTTCAATGTACACTTTGATTGTATTATGTTCATATTCCTCGAGCAGTTTCTCATTTCGCGATGTATTCGCGAGAGCGTGTACATTTGTTATTCTATGTTTGCTAAACTACCGCTTGTGCAATATCGACAGTTCTGTGTGTGCGACGGCGAGCTTTTTGCAAAAGTTCGCTGCAGCTGTCAATATTTTAAAAGCGGTCGATATAAATTGTACGCGGCGATATATCGCGTCTGGAAAGTCTTCTCGGGGTTGCGCGCAAGTATCATATATGACATCGTGTATAAGGTGCATCGATCGATGAAAAAAAGGATGCAAAAATAGATAGAATCACCAGTGAACGACCGTTATCCTCAGCAAGTAATTAACAGAATAATTATGCAGAATATCACAATTAGTTTTGCAAATTTGTTAGCAAATCTTGATATTAGGCCTCTTATTAAAAGTTTGATAACGTCCAGTTTTTCATAATTTATTAAGATCTGGATTTTAAAATCTGACTAAAAAAAGAATAAATTTTCGAATTATTTATTCATCAATATAAATAACTTCATAATTATGTTCGCAAGATACATACATAACACAAACAAATATATGATTATTTTATACTACAAGAACATTTTCGTTCCTGATAACTCCACGTGCAACCTCGATACAGTCCCGGATTTTCCTCCACCAAACGAAAGCCGCTCGCGGAAACGCGCCTTCCGCGACGATACGGTTACCCCCGCGGGGGTCGTTCTCATTCTGAGCGAAAGGGGGGAGGAGGGCAAGGGTGCACACACGCGTGCAATCGTGCGGCTCTCCCGTTCGCTCTTCCGTCTCACCTGCTCGCG